AGTTTTGTTCAATATCTTAATTAATGATCTGGAGGATGGCGTGGACTGCAGTCTCAGCAAGTTTGCAGATGACACTAAACTGGGAGGAGTGGTAGATATGCTGGAGGGTAGGGATAGGATACAGAGGGACCTAGACAAATTAGAGGATTGGGCCAAAAGAAATCTGATGAGGTTCAACAAGGACAAGTGCAGAGTCCTGCACTTAGGACGGAAGAATCCCATGCACTCTTACAGACTAGGGACTGAATGGCTAGGAAGCAGTTCTGCAGAAAAGGACCCAGGGGTTACAGTGGACGAGAAGCTGGATATGAGTCAACAGTATGCCCTTGTTGCCAAGAAGGCTAACGGCGTTTTGGGCTGTATAAGTAGGGGCATTGCCAGCAGATCAAGGGACGTGAACATTCCCCTCTATTCGACATTGGTGTGGCCTCATCTGGAGTACTGTGTCCAGTTTTTGGGCCCCACACTACAAGAAGGATGTGGAAAAATTGGAAAGAGTCCAGCGGAGGGCACCAAAAATTATTAGGGGATGGAGCACATGACTTATGAGGAGAGGCTGAGGGAACTGGGATTGTTTAGTCTGCAGAAGAGAAGAATGAGGGGGGATTTGATAGCTGCTTTCAACTACCTGAAAGGAGGTTCCAAGGAGGATGGATCTAGACTGTTCTCATTGGTACCTGATCTCAAGTTGCAGTTGGGGAGGTTTAGGTTGGATATTAGGAAAAACTTTTTCACTAGGAGGGTGGTGAAGCACTGGAATGGGTTACCTAGGGAGGTGGTGGAATCTCCTTCCTTAGAGGTTTTTAAGGTCAGGCTTGACAAAGCCCTGGCTGGGATGATTTAGTTGGGAATTGGTCCTGCTTTGAGCAGGGGGTTGGACAAGATGACCTCCTGAGGTCTCTTCCAACCCTGATATTCTATGATTCTATGATAACAGGGTGCTAGCCAGGACGGCCTGAGCCAGGCCCCTGTTAGTCCAGCTCCAATTAAGAGGAATTAATTGGCGCTGACTGGGTGTGGCTCACCTAGGGTCTTGAGGAGAAATACCTGCGGACCTTATTAGCAAAAGGGCTATATAAATCTGGCAGAAAAGAAGCCAAAGGAGGAAGAGGAAAGGGGGGAGCCTGTGGCTGTAGAGCCCTGCTGGCTGAGGAATCTAGCTGCCTGTCCCCACTCCCGGTGCTGGGTTGAACAGACTGTATATAGATGGTGGTGGGAAGTGACTCTGTGACTAAAAGGGCACTGGTGCTTGCACTCTAAGCGGTGTCCGGCTTATTTTTGGCACGAGCAGCGCAAGGTTCCGTTACAGTAAGGCTGGGTCTACACTACCCGCCTGAATCAGCGGGTAGAAATCGATCTCTCGGGGATCGATTTATCGCGTCCCATCGGGACGCGACAATCGATCCCCGAATTGACGCTCTTACTCCACCAGCGGAGGTGGGAGTAAGCGCCGTCGACGGGAAGCCGCAGAGGTCGATTTTGCCACCGTCCTCACAGCAGGGTAAGTTGGCTGCGATCCATCGATTTCAGCTACGCTATTCGCGTAGCTGAATTTGCATATCTTAAATCGACCCCCCCCCCTCCCCCGTAGTGTAGATGTAGCCTAAGCAACTGCATTGAACCATGAATTCCACCTTGTAATCACTGGTTCATGTGGAAGTGACACTGCTTGGTTACCACTTTGGTTAGCCCCATGGACTCCTTAAGTTGTAGTTTACAGCTTGGACAATGCTTGAATATTCTTTTTAAAAGAAGAAACTAGTATACCCACAACAGGAAAATGTGTATGCCAGATATCACTGGCCATTGAAAGAATGTGTGCATTACAGGTAACATGAATTGCATTGGGCTTTATTCCTTGTAGTACACCAGAGAGAGCTTTGCACATGTACATCATGTTGTCAGAGAAATGCTGAGACCTTGTTGAAATCTAACTCTTAGTTTACACTAGCCTTTACTACAGCTTGTGATACAGCTGAAAAATTTACTGACTTGAGCTGAACAGGCTCTGTTAGGAAAACAGCATAGTTGTCTTTCCAGCTGCAGGATGAATAAAATGTGGAGTATGTACTTATCCTATGCATCTGTTGCTTCGTCAGGAACAATTGAAATGGAATCTTATTCTGCCAGCACAGATTTTGTAAACTGAAGGTGCTTCACAATTACTTTGGTTAGATAATATTGGTGACATTTGTTTGCACACTCGAAACTGCCAGCATTTGTTACATGCTTTCTGAAGTAGTCCCTTAGTTTTGGATTCATTTTTTTTCTAAAGGTACGTTAGCAGCCTTGAAAGCCTCCACTAGCTCCATTGTAGTGCTTTTTTTTTTTTCCAGACTACTTTCAATCATTCTTGTAAACATCATGGACACTTTCGCTTGTTTTTTGTTCTGACATATAGCCTCTGTACGTGCTTTTTGTTTAATATGCAATTCAGACTCAAAATGGCAACCAATTACGTTTTTTCTGAACAAATCCAGAGTCACACTGCAAGATGAACAAAACAATTTACCACTTGAACCTTACTACGTATAAGGTTCTCCATGGGTACTGCTTCACACTAACCAAAGCTGAAATGTTCTTTGCTTTTTTTAATTTGTCAGCCATCTTTATATACAACAATCCTTTCACTCAACCTGTTTGTGCTCACTTATCATAAATGTTGACACACTTTCAATCATCTACTGTAGTGACTGCTCACTTTAGTCTATGTTATGCAACTATCCACTATGATGATTGGAATGATATTGCATGATTATAGACAACTGTTTTTGCATTGTGGCAATCACAAGTTTTGCAGCATATTTTATGATTAATACATATTTTTATTTTGAAGGCTAATTTTGTTGTTGATCCCATATTTCACATTTCTGTGAAATGGTGATCTAAGTAGGCCTCTAGTTATAACTGTTAGGGCTGTAATCCATTCTCTTATTGTAGGGTTGTTGCAAGTTTATGGTGTTTTGAATAGTATAGTGTTAAAATCAGATTTTATTCATTATATTCCTTATTTAGCTAATCCTTCTAAATCCGTATTGTCCCTTAACAAACACAAAGATGTGGTCCTTTGTATATCAAGTTTTATTTCCCTTATTTTGTCTAACTCTTCCCTCAAGGACTTGTGTGTGTATATATATCAGGACACATCAGAAACAGATGTTGATAATCCTATGTGTGTTGTTTACACCCCCAGCATTCACTGGATTCTCTGAATTCCAGATGGCACATAGACTAGAATGACTATGTATAAGATTAGAATGGGTTTAGCTTCAAATGTGCATCTGTCTGTTTTGTAACTTTAATTCCTTGGTCTAGACCGCCCTGCTCGTTTCACCTTTAGTATTCCTCCATACTTGCAATATGATTTCTTCCTTCACTAAGAGTAGGCAAGTAGCTCTTTCTTTCAATACATTTTTGAACTACTGTTCATCAGAAGATGGTGAATTTAAAAATTAATTACTTGTTGTAATAGTGCTTTATTTAAATCTCTCAGGAGTGCATAGAATTATACCTTAAATTGCAACAATTGATATTGGAAAGATTAGAAACTGAATTTTCCACAACTTTCTAATGGTTAAGAATTCATACTGTAGAGCAGGGGTTTTCAACCTGCGGTACATGTACCCTTGGGGATATGCAGAGGTCTTCCAGGGGGTACTTCCAATTTATCTAGATATTTGTCTAGTTTTACAACTGGTTACATAAAAAGCACCAGGGAAGTCAGTACAAACTAAAATTTCATGCAGCCGTTGACTTGTTACACTGAAATGTAAGTACAATATTTATATTCCAGAGGATTTTATAATTGTATGGTAAAAATGAAAAAGCAATTTTTCAGTAAGTGTGCTGTGACACTTTTGTATTTGTCTGATTTTATAAGCAAGTTGTTTTTAAGTGAGGTGAAACTTGGGGAGGCAGGTACGCAAGACAAATCAGACTCCTGAAAGGGGTACAGTACTCTGGAAAAGTTGAGAGCCACTGCTGTAGTGTCGTCTACTGTATATAGCACTGGACCAAGTCTTAGCAGACCTGGATTCTATTCCCATCTTTACTGCCATCCTGCTAGATGACCTTGAACAAGTCACTTCCCCTTTCTGTACCTTTGTTTCCCTTCCCAGCTTTTGTCTGTCTTGTCTATTTAGGTTCTAAAGCTCTTCAGGGCAGGGAATGTCTTAATGGGTGTTTATACACTACCTACCACCAGTTTGGACACAGCACATACAAAAAGAACTTCTCTCTCCCAGTCTTTGTGTGACTACTTAATCTGCTGCTGCGTTCAAAGAAAAATGTGGCATTGCCGGCTGGGGCTGCTGTCCACTGTGCTGTACAATTCCTAAGGCCTCCAGGAAAGCACAATGGAGCCATTACAAGCACAATTTATCAGAGGACTCTGATCCTGGAAAGGGGTCAGGAAGAGCAGAAGGTGAACATGGGGGTCAGAGAGAGAGGTTGTGTCTTTGGTTTTAAAAACAAAAAGAATTTAAACAAATCCTTTGTAGAGCCGTAGAGCATATTGAATAAAAAAAATGTTAGGAGGAAAGGGAACCGTGAACTGAACTGAAAACCAGTCTTTAAAGACAGCATGAGCCTGAGGCAAGTGTTGTTACTTTGCCTGCCAGTGCTTTTAGGGAGAAACAGAGTCCCTGTGTTTTACAAATAAGGAGACAGTTGAGCCCCAGAAACTCCCAGATGCCCTTATATTTTAATTAAAAAGACAGACTATATTGGGGGTAGATTCAGTTCCTGTCTCACGGGCCCACGCTCTGGCTTTCACACAAGAGCCATCGAGCTGGGCACGCGCACCGCAGGCCAGCGCTCCGGCTGCCTCCGCGCAAAAGTTTGCAGCGGCGATGTCCGCTCAGGGCGCAGGTGTTTTCACTCTGTGCCGTGACATGGTGCTGAGAACGCCTGAGCGAAGTGCAAAACTGCCCGCCCCAGTAATGCTGCCTCGCCCCCCCCCGGGGCTGGATTCCTCCCTTTGCCCTCCTGGCCAGGAGCCAGGTAGGGCTCGTCCCGCTGTCTCCCCTTTGCTTCCCCCGGCTGACCCCTCGGGCCCCGCCCCTCGTGCGGAGGCGGCACCTCCCCTCCCAGTCGGCCCGGCCCCAGCGCTGGCTCCGGGTTTCCCTATCCCGAAGCGGAGCAGCCACCTGGCGTTTCGGGGCGCGGCTGCAGTTAGGCGGACGCTATGGCCGAGGAGCGCGACGTGTTCCTGAGAGCCCGGGGCAGGACGCTGAGCGCCTTTCGCGAAGGTACGCGGCCGCCTGGCCCTGCACGGGGAAGGGAGGCGGCTGGAGCTCGGCGCCCGGCGGAACGTTTGTGCGGGGGGCGCGGGTTTCCGCCGGGCTCGTGTCACCGGGGCGCTACCAGGCTTTGGGGGGACGGATGCGCAGACCCCGTCTGGCGGTGTGCGC